CCCAAAATGAAGTAATGGTGATGGATCCAGAGTCCTCTGACCACACCACTAATAATCACCTTTGACGATGATAAAACATGACCCTAAACCATTTAGGTTTTACAATTGCTTAGCTAACCTCAAAGACTTCCTCCTACTGCCAAAGATGCTTGTGATACTCCAACCAGGTTTGATTATAAGGGGGCTGGCTATATGGTAGAAATTGAAGCTGGTGAAACAAGGTCTAAAACACCTTGATTGGAAGGAATTCAATAATGTGGATATCAGAGTCAACAATGCATACAAAGATTAGCTGATACCAAGCACAAACGAGGGATCATAACCATTTATCTGAACTGTTTAATGAAGAAAATTCACAAAATTGAGTTGGAGAAGTGTAGTGTAGTGGAGGAAAGCATATTAAAACAGAAGTCTGGGACTAAATGGCTGCAACTTGGTGATGATAACACTGCATATTTCTTTGCCACCTTTAAATGCGGACAAGTCCAGAATAGAATTATATGCCTTGTATATAGCCAAAGTCAGATCCTGCAACATCCAAATGAATGTGAAGGTGAGACAATGAGAATCTACAAAGATCCAAACATCATGTAAAATGGAAGTTGCAAATCTTGAGAGCAACAATCGGATTTGATTGCCCCTGTCCCAAGGTGTGTAAGGCCCTGATGAGTATTTATCATCAGAAGGCCTCTGGTTGTGATGGTTTTAGTGCCCACTTCTTCAAAAGAGCATGATCCATCATTAGGGAGGGAGGTAAATCGGGCAGTAATAAGTTTCTTTGATCATGGTGACATGCAAAGACCTATACTGCATTATTTTTTCAAAAAATTAAGAAACAGAGATTTAGACAGATTCATGACCCAATATATGCCAAAAAGTGTTCTGCTACTCTTGCTACCAGTCAAGTCTACAGTAGATGCATAATATTTCTTTGCCGTGTGAAAATTTTCTAGTACGCCAGCACCTGTTAAAGCCGTGACGTGAGTGATTATTTATGGCTATTGTCAGAAAATGCATGCAATGGGGCATTGCTATCGGCGAAGCAAGTTCTTCATAAAATCAGAAAATTAACATGCAATCCAAAACACCCTTATTCTTTAACCATCAGCCAGTTGGTCCATGAGATCACCAAAGTAATATGACTCTTAATCCAAAATATTGAAGCAGATATCAAAAATCCTTTCCATTTTTCATGTGTAAGAAACTTTTTGAAGGTATTTGCAAGCAAAAGTACTTCCTAGGTTAACCATTTACCCAGTATCAGCATTTTCATCCTCTTCCACAATAGAATCATTGCCTGACCCGTTCATCAGTTGGCTCACTTCGCTTCGCACCATAGCTGCCACCATCTAAGCTTCCTTCATATCAGCCCCTCCTCTCCCTTATCGATCCGACATCACTCCCTCCTCATCCCACCCAGCCAGCGCCAAGCCTCCCTCTTCTGTCCCAACTTGCCACCACCTTCACCCTCTCCCGTTCTCTATTCAAACAGCCACCCCTTCACAGCTAGTCACTCCCATATCCCACCCCACCAACCCTTCCCTAGAGCCCCAACATACCCCCCTTCCACTTCATCCAGGCTCCAGCACCCATTCATTCTCCATCTCACTCCCCTGTATTCTGCCTCCTCTACTTGGTCCCCCTCTTTCCTGTTGCCAATCCTCCCTCCCCACCCTAAAAGTTTGTACTGTTACCATCCTTCCTTCTTCCTCTTTTCCCTTTTTTTCTTTTTTTTGAGGGTGGGGGAGGATTGATTTCTTTTCTTCTCCTTTAGATTAATTTTTTTTTTTTGACAAGGTAAATAGTTTTATCAGTAATCGAGGGAAACCCTATATACAAGTCATATACCAAAAGGATACTTTAGGTTTCTCTGAATTATTTGTGGATCCAATCCACATTTTTCTTAACTATCGTATTGAAAGACTTGTCGAGTTAGCTTCAAAAATTGACTCCCTCAACTTCTGTAATCAAAGAGGCAGAGGTCTTAGGCATTTCTCTAACAAGAAGAAAGATACATTTTGTTCAATAAACAAGGTCCAAGTAACTGTCCCAAAAAACCCACTTGTTCTGATATTTTTGTGCCTAAGCAAGTTTGGGCCCCAAGAAGTTTTGAAGCTTATATTTGAGGTTGAAATTAATGTGAAAAACAAATCCACTCCGAGCCCCGAGTCAGCATAACGAGAAAATATCTAGAGAATCAGATTGAAATCCAAAAAATTATCCTCTCATCCTCTCCCTATTTTTGCACATTGATGGCTTTTTTTAAACATCCAGCTATCATGTCGATATTAATTTCTAGTTAACTTCTGAGTAAGCATAGTAATGTGCTCTGACAACTTCCCTTATATATACGGCTGTTTTAAGTGTCCCCCTCCCTGCTTCACCAAAATTCACTCAAGATTTTAGTGAAAATGAGGTGGTGATAATTTTCTCAAGCCGAGGGTCTAGCGGAAACCACCTCTCTACCCACAAAGGTGGGGTAAGCTCTATGTACACCCTACCTCTCCAGACCCCACTTATGGGATTGTACTGGGTATGTTAGTGTTGTTGAGGTGGTGATAATCTTGATATTTATTAAATTTCGCCCATCTTATTACTGCCAGACAAATTTAGGTAGTCACCAAAGTGTGGTAGTTGCATCAATACTTAATACTGGTTGGTATCTATGCTCCTGGAACTTCAAGCTATTTAGTTGAGGTTGTTATACTTCTTTTTTCTTCAAGATCCAACAATAACTAAGCACACCATTTGAATATTTTCTGCAGGTGACTAACCTAGTGGGGACACTTCTTGGGAACACTCGACCCATGTAACATTTTCCCATTGTCTACTTCGTGGTGTTGGAATAATCTATCAGGGAGAACAGCAAGGAAGAAATTGATAATCCTTTTCTTTATATCTCGAAGATGTTGCCTCTTTGAACAAATTTTACTATATTTAGAAGTATATTTCAATTTTACTCCTTGACAGTAAAGATGATCTGAACCAATGTGTAATGGCTATTGATGATTTTTTGTGATACAATAGGAAAATTTCAGCTTCTGGCCAAAATGTTAGATTTTGATGTTGCAAGAATGAATTTCACAGTTTTTGGTCATTACTTTTACTTGATGCAGAAAATCAGTGTCCATGGTTTAGTATGTTGCTATGTTTTCGTTCTAGTGTCATATTTGTTGTTCTCAATACGTAGTATACATGTCTTTGACAACTGTTTGTGGTGGTAAATTTCAAATTTGATGAAGGACTTGGTGAGAGTTGTGAGCATGTCTCTATAATAAGCTATGTACCCAAATCAAATCATATTTGGTCTTTGTGCAAGGTAAATCCACAACAAAGTTCATATTTATCATCTCTCACTTCCATTGTGGAATTTCAAGCCTAACTACTCAGTCGATGATGTTCTGTTTGAGCTTCTTGTATGGATGGATACATTTGCCTTTTTGTTAATTGTTTTTGCGCTGTATCCATTATACCCATTTGGTCATGGATCAAGAGGTGCATATAGCATTTGACTATGAATGGCTATTCAGTTGTACATATTGTAGATGATCATCAGTAGAATTCTATTAAGTTATTCAACCAAAACCAAAAAGGAACTTTTTTTCTAGATTTGGTGTTCACCCAAAGAAAGAGCTTACTATCTACTACACATTTACCAAAACCATCTCATCAACTCCACTTCTTATTAAGTAGTAACAGAACTTGCATATAGTATTCAAGCCTTCACTCTTTCCTCACATCTACTCAATTCTTGATTTGTTTCTTCTCCTAAGAATAAAAATGACTAAACTTTACCAACTCACCTTTAAGACAATGCAAGCCACCTTCTCTGCATTTGGCTGCTAGCTTTCACATTTAGCTCTGCCTACTCAGCAAGAATCCTTGATGAGGTAACCTCATTGTCTGACACATCAGAAACGGATGAGCCTGATGTGGCTCCAGTGGTGGCTCCGATTGCCAAGTTGCCAATTACCAGCTACCGTCACTGCTCCTGATTCGGACATGGTGCCTGTTGCTAATCCTTCCATTCCTGCTGCAATAGTAACTCCTCCAGCTGATATACCGACTGAACCTGAACCAGATTCGGCCCCTGCTGCCTCAGTAACCCCTCCTGCTGACATAACAAATACTGGGCAGCCCCCGTCAATGATGCAGCGCCAGTAGCTACACCAGCAGGGGCCACTGCAACATCAGGTGGAGTTGCAGCAGTTGCTAACTCTGGTGCCACAGAGGCTAATCCTGTTGCAGGCCACTCCATGTTCTCCTTCTTCATGCATGACATTCTTGGTGGTTTGTGCCCTTCAGGAAGAGTGGTCACCGGGATTATAGCCAATTCTGATGCCAACAATTTGCCTTTCTCCAAGCCCAATAATCAAATTTTCCCAATCAGTGGAGTCCCTGTGAACAATATTATCAACGTCGTCAACAACAACTTTCCATACCTTGTAGGTCTCAATGGTCAACAAGCTAGCTATCTAACACACTCCTCCAAAACAGTGGCAATAACAACATACTAAATAGTGGAACAACCAACCTTTTGTAACAGCAGGGCAAATTCCTTCTGGCCTATCCCTTCAGAAGCTCATGTTTGGCTCCATTACTGTAAGTTGACAATGAAATATTCGAGGGGTATGAACTGGGATCGGCTATTCTTGGTAGGGCACAGGATTTTACTTGACAAGCTCTTTGGTTGGCACCAGCCATACTTTAGCCTTGACAGCACTTTTTCATAAATTTCACGATGACCTTGATTTCTAATGGTTTGTGCACAAAAAATTATTTATACTGTACAACAGCAGAAGAATAGTAGTTAAAAAGACTCAAAACAGGAACTCCTACTCAGTGATAACTTGTTCTCTACTCTCTGCTCTCTGCCTTTGATATGAATTCTTGCCATAATCACATTGATATTCAATGATGAAAGCTGAATTCCATTAATTTCAAATGAACAATAAAGAATAGAATGTTCAACTGAGGATAAGAGATGATCTTTCACCAAATGTCAAAAACTACTTCCAAAATGGGAAGAACAAAACTTGAATATTAACATTCAACAACCAATTGTGTTCATAAACCCTTTAGGTGTTGCTTTTGTAGATAAATACAAGAAACTCAATACAATAAAAATCGAAGAAATGCAAATCTATACAGTTTCAGTTTTTGTTCCTTTTCGCTTCCAACTTTGTAGCTTCTTTAAGAGCTTCTTGAGCATCATTCTCAATCCCAAGCACAAAGAGTCCAGCAGCCTGTAGGTAAAGGCAGTTGGCCATTCGGGGAAAACCACCTGAGCTTGCATTGCATCCCCCAGAGCTTCTTGTGGCAAGTCGCTCATCAGATAACACAAGCAACGCCTGGCATATACGGTTGGTGATACCATGGTCCCTCCATCAATGAACTATATATTAAACAGAAATAGCATGTAAGTCTGCCTTGTCTTGTTCAAATAGCTGAATACTTAAAGAGACATATTTCATTTTGAGCTTTTACTGAACATCAAGAGGAATTTAATGAGGTCTTCCTGTAACTGTTTTATGACTATGATAAAAGCATCCGTTTTTTAGCCATTAAGATAAACAAACATATTTTCGATGGTCAAACCTGTGTGTAGCAGTCAATAGCAGTAATGAAATCCTTGGCTCGGAAAGCAGCATCACCATGCTTCTTAGAATTTAAGGTTTCCTGCATCTGATTTGTCCACATTTGGAATGAAAGCTGCAATGGAATCTCACAATTGCAAAATCAAGATCAAGTCATACCAATAAAAAATAGACATGATTTATTTGTGGGGCAATTGAGATATGAAGATGAAAACACATATAACAAACAAACAGTATAATACTGAACTTGTAAATTATCACAATATGTTAAGATATCTTATATTGGCATATTATAATCCTTTTGTTTGACAATCAACAGACAGAAGATCTAAAACTTTTACTATCATATCTAAAAGGATACCACATGGGCTTAGATGATGACACCAGGTAGGCCCTTTGCTATTTGATGGAAAAAGAAACAGAATAAGTAAATTTAAAAGGCAAAACATAGTGGACTCTCTTTTTGGTAATTATTAGAGGAACAAAAGCATGATACTAAAGTTGGATCATTAGCCTCTTACTTACCTCTCTCAATGAGGCATTATTCTCTTAGATCTTCTTTTGGGCAGGAGGGAGGAGAAGGTAGATTTTCTGCATCTAAAATTAACCTTTTAAAACTGGTTCCTTATCAAGATTACCATGATAAGAAACTATTACGGAAATATCCCCCCCGTTTCAATTTGTTTGACAGGTTTTGACTTGGCACGGAGTTTAAGAGAATTAAGAAGACTTTTGAATCTTGTAGTCTTAAACTAAAGATGTGTAGAATGTACCAAAATGTCCTTTAATCTTGCAGACTTAAACATATCACATGGTAAGTTGAAATTAAAGATTTCCCAGAAAAGGAAAAAAATCATTCTTTTCTTAAACGGACTAAAAAGGAGAGGGAGTAGAAAGATGTCATTCATCCAAGGTGCTAAAGAGGGGTTAATTGTATTAGGTTGTGAGAAGAATATCTAAGCCAGAAGACATCTTTTTTTATATTTTTGAGAAACAAAGATAATCAATACTGCTAATGAATAGTAAAATTGAGTAAAGAAAAGGAAGACCTCATTGGCAATTCCTTCATCATCCTTGTATCCACTCTTTTCCAATATTTCATGAAGGGCAGTAAGATCCTTTCTCAAGCATGCTTCACCCATTGGTGTCAATAATAATGGCTGAGGTGGGGTTGCAGTTCCATGTGGAATTCCCAACAAAACATGTGACAGCACCTGGATTATATCAATGGCAAACATGGGCTCCAAGCATTATATGAAACAAAATTAAGGAGAAACCAAGGTGATTCATCTGAGGAATACATAGCAATTGAAATATAATATGTTTCCTTCTTGTAAGTCAAATAATTCCACCAGGGTTTCGTTTCCATTGTTAACTAAATAGAAAATATGAGATAGCAAAAGACATAGGATATATCCACACTATAGTAACAGAATCAACCTTACTATAGTGTGTTCCTAGACAACGAAATAACAAAATGCAAAAAGGAGGTATTCATCTGTAAGGTATTGATCAATTTTTTATCTCACAAATGAAAGAAGGTAAGTAGTAGTTCTTTAAATGTTTCCGTGATCTGTAAGCAAGTCAAGGGGCACAGTCATACCTCTGTTTCTTTCTGAAGAGACATAAGTGAAGTGACGAGAGATTTTGCATTTGGCCTCTCACGTGCCTCATACTGTAAACAGCGAGTGGCTAGCCGAACAAGCTCACTTCCATCATCATTTGAAAAATGACCCTCCAAACAAGAATCCATAAGCATCAAAAAATTCTTCCCCCGAATTAGATCAAGTGCCTACAAGAAGGTAAAGAAACAGTGCTCTTCAAGTTTAGGAATTCAAGTAATAGAGTCGATAAACAAAGTTCAATTTATACAGGATTTCATATAGTGCACATCCTTAGGTCCAGAGAATCTTTAGCAACTTACATGGCTTGGAGGAATATGCTTTCCACTCAAAAGATCTAGCAACATTGTTCCAAAGCTGTAAACTACACTTTCAGGGGTCACTCTTCCTGGCAATCATAAACACGTTTCAACTTTCACTTTAGCTGAATTAAGGGAAAGACAGTAGCATAATACTAAAAGAAATGCCTGAACTTATTTGTAAATTATTTGCGGTAAACAACAAAATTCCATCTCACAACACTTTGGATTGAGAAAATAATCATATTTGACCTGTTTTCAAGTACTCGGGCGGAGTGAAAGCCAAGTTTGTACTATAACTCTTCCCGTCTCTACTGTTCTTCATCAAGCCAAAGCAAGAGAGTCTAGGATTACCATCCTGTGAAAACACTAACCAATGTAAGACGCACTACACCTAACACAACCTAGTTATAACAAAAACTGCAGTAGAATCAATATTTACCTGATCAAATAAGACTCTATAAGCATTAAGATCGTGATACAATGCCCGACCTTTGCTACTGCAGTAGTCCAAAGCTTGCGCTAGATAAAAAGCAACCCTCAACCTCATCGCCCATTTCATAGGTTGATTCTCCCCTAGTTCCATTTCAAATATCAGCATGGACCACAGACTCAAGTAAATTCCATTGGAGTTGGTAAAAGCAAACACAATTGACACAAAATAACAGTCAATCTGCCTTCAACAACAAATAAGTTATGCTTATATCACTTCTCTCAGACTTCTAAATCATGGACTTAACTATGATCTAGATCACAACAAATCCCATCACAACATGAAGTTCCTATAATTCTCATTTCTGAATTACAAAATTCTGGCAATGGGGATTGGACTCACAGTGAAACAAATGCTTAGCAAGGGTCTCATTAGGCATGAACTCAGCCACCAGCAATTTTTCCTCCCCTTCACAGCAACATCCTATTAGATTCGCCAATCGTTCGCTCCTCAGATTCCCCACAGCTCTAGCCTCATCCTTTACAACACATAAACATTGTCCAAAGTATATACAAAACCAATTCATTCATACACAAGAAAAGGTTACAAATTGGGACAATTGAGCAACAGAGTTATATCAAAACTAACCAAGAATTGACGAGAATCAGGCCAAGCAGACCTATTAAAGCGTTTAACAGCAACCCAACGACCATTTTCAAGCAACCCTTTATAAACTACATTTGGAGCTTTCTCTCCATGCTCAGACACAATGTTTTCAGAAGAAAATCCATTGGTAGCCATCTTCAGCTCATCAAGACTAAACTCAGTAAACACTGGAAAGGCATTTTTCTCATTTTTACCTCCATTCTCTGCCAACACAAAACAAAGTAAAAAATCTCATCTTAACATTCAAAGAACTACATAAAACACACACACACACACACAAAGTCAATAGAAATATGACAAGCAAGAAAATAAATACCCAGATCAGATGAATCAAGAAGGGATGGTTTGAGATGAGAATGCCACCAACAAAAAGAGAATTTTGAACAACGAGCACCCATCTGACAGTGAAAATGAAAACAGCAAAAAACACAAGATTTCTTGAAAAAGGAGGAACCTTTATGACTTTACTGTTTTTTTCAAGAAACAAACAGAGACCCAATTTATAGTGATTCAAAGAAAAGATGTTTCTTTTCTTATTAAGCTTTTGCACTTCTCTTTTGGTGAGCAAGCAAACATGACAGAAGAGAAAAAGAAAGGCAAATGGGAAGAATGAAAAAGGAGAGACTTTTATAGCTACTGGTTTTTTTTTCTCTTGAGGGAACAAACAGTGACCCCAATTGTTGTTGGAATCCAAAGAAAGGATCTTTTTGCAGAAATTTACAGTACCCTTTTGATGATTCTGTTAGTGTTGTAATTTGAAGCCTTTTTAAGAGCATGCAGAAAGGAAGAAAAAGAAGACGGTATGTATATTAGGATTAGGCCAAACTCGTCCTCTAAAGTTGACACCAAGTTTCACGTAGTCACCTCAATTAGGCGATATTCATTTTAGACACATCGCTTAGTTGAGGTGTTTAAGTGAAATTTGTTGTAACTTTAGGGGGTCACCGATGAATTTGACCTTAGTATTATAGCTAGTAGTATGTAGCAACGTGATTTGTGGTGCATTGGTGAAAGTGTCTCACCCTTAATCAGATGTCTCGAGTTCGAGCCCTGGGTATGGAGAACATCCTATTGGGAACGACACTCCCAAACGAGCCCTACAATGCGTGATTCAAATTTAATTGAAGCTCTAATGTGGGCTTCAAACACCGAGTAAAAAACAAAAAAGCTAGTAGTATGTGGTTTATTGGATGAAAATAAATTATAAGAGAAGAGCAACAGCCAAGCCAACACACAGTGTGTAGCTTTTTTTTCACTTTCATGTGTCTCTCTTTTGAGAGGAAGCCATGTGTGGTTGCTGACTTGCTGCTAAAGAGAATTGACCTTTTTTTCTTTTATAAATACTTCCTTCCTCTCGATTTGTTTGTTTGATTTTACCTTAATATAAATTTTTTTAAATATAATTTTTAATATTATAATTTTAAATTAAAAATATATTAAATATATTAAAATATTATTTAATTTTATAATTTTATAAATACTATATGAAAAGTTAAAATGAAAAAATTACTAAACAAAAAAAGGAAGATTATTTAAATAGAAAGGAAACTAGAACAATTCCTTTCCTTTTTAATGATGATTTTCTTTTTAATACTATTTAATTCCTACCTTTTAACAGGAGAGGTTTAACATTACAAGATTAGAAAACATATTGATATATTTAATATATATATTTTTATTTATTTATTTCATACTAAATTTTATTTGCACTGTTTTCTTGTTTCACATGAACCGAGAGACTTTTAGAAATAGTCTCTTTACATCTACGAGATAGTGATAAAATTTGTGTATATTCTAGTCTCTTCAAATATCACTTGTGAATATATTATTGTTGTTGTTATTACTAAATTAAAATTAGATAAATAAATTAATATGAAGAGTATATAAATCTTCTCTCTTTCTTTTGTTTTTGTAATTATTTTTCTGGTTTAAAGTTTGAATTTACTCATCATTCCTCTTTTGTGAATCCCACTGTCACTACTCATGGCCCCCCACGACTTCCCTTTTTCCACATAAATAGAGAAGATCTATGTACTACTCCTCCACCGTCCCATATTTTGCATGGCCCCTTTAGATATGTAATATAAAATTATAAATTAAAATATAAAATTAAAGTTTTATTTAGATATATCATTTAAATTTTATAAGTTTGTAATTTTTTTTAGAAATTATGAAAATTTTCAAAATTTTATACAATCTTATCAAGTGAGTAAATTATGATTCATAAATACGATATTAGAATATCATAAGGTGTATGTATATTTGCAATTATAAACTTTTAAATATACATAATTTTATAAGAATTCACTAGCCAACAATAGTAATAACTAGCTATTCTATAATATAATTTTTTCATATAGTACGAACAATTAATGATACTAAGTCTTCGCTCAAAATATTAATGATTAAGACCTACTTAGATCAAATAGCAACATACCATTGTAATTTCACTTGAGTTGGGTCTACGAATGATAGAGTATGTACAGACCTTACCCCTGTCTTGAAAGGTAGATATATTATTTTCAATAAAGTTTTGATTCATGAAAAAACAATTCAAAGCAGATTAAATAGGGGATGACAAAGTGGAGAAGCCATGAAAAGTGCTATAGAGAGCATGACAAAGCAGTCTGGAAAATAAGTAGTAACTACAACATAATATTACGATAATCGAACTACAAGAAACAAAAGATAGTAACAGAAATTGAAGGATAAGAAACTACAAGAGTAATACTACGACTAACAATATATAATATAAGGAAAAATAAGACAGCGCTCAACTATTTACTAATATTCTATCATAATTTGTTTCCTTCATAATCTCCTATCTAAGGTCATATTCTCGGTAAGTTGAAATTAAGTCATGCCCGGTCTAATAACCTTTCCTCAATACTTATTAGCCCGCATCTAGCCCTCCTGAAGCCATCTATATTCATCCTCTCACACCTTCTCACTAGGACATTCGCTCCTCTCATCTTCACATATCTGAACCATTTCACGCTTTCTTTTCGTATCTTATACTCCACTAGAGACACTCCCATCTTGTCCCAAATATCTTCACTTCTGATATTATATTTTCTAGTATATCCACACATTCATCTCATAATCCTTATTTCTGCAATTTTCATCTTTAGGATGTGAGAGTTCTTGACTAATCAACACTTCGCCTTATACAATATAGTTGGCGTAACCACTACTCTGTAAAACTTACCTTTAAGTTTTGGTGACACCTTCTTATCACATAAGACTCCTGAAGTGGGCCTTCATTTTATTCACCATGCATCAATTTGATGAGTGACATCATCGTCAATCTCGCCATTTTATTGGATAATAGACCCAAGATGCTTGAAACTTCCACTCTTTTGGATGGCTTGTATATCATGCCTTACTTCGACACCAACCTCATGTTGTACATTATTGTACTTACACTCCAAGTATTATGTCTTAGCCCTTCTCAACTTAAACCCTTTAAACTTCAGAGTTTCTCTCTAAACCTCTACCTTAACATTAACTCAGCCGCTGCGAGCCTTGTCAATCAGAACTATGTCATCAACAAATAATGCACACCATGACACCTCATCTTGAAGTTGTCTCGTCAATTAATCCATCACTAAAGCAAAAAAAAAAAAAAAGGGCTAAGAATTGACCCATAGTGTAGAGTCCTCTCTCGTTGTCATTACCCTGATTTTGATCATCATACATGTCCTTGATCGCCCTGTTATACGCCATATGTACACCTCTAGGCTCTAGCTTCATATCATCTCCATTAAGTCTCCTTTGAAACTTTACCGTATATATTTTCTAGGTTCGATGAATACTATGTGTAAATCTCTCTTCCTCCCCCTATACGGCTTCACCAATCTCCTAAATTTAGATTAAATAAGTTCTTAAATTTCAATACCAATAGATATACTAATAACCTAAGATCTAAACCGTTCAAATTCAGACTTGCATTAAGTATAAAAAATGAGACCTAAAAATACTTATTATTTTATAAAATTAAAATAAAATTAATTAATTTTATCTCATGTTACCCTTTTAATATTATATATTCTTGCAAGTTATAACCTATAGTATTCATTATATAGCTTAGATATTAAATTTGAAAAAATCAAACAAGCAATAATTAATTAATATCATAATTGTTCAAATATTAATAAAATTAGTTTTTCCTTGCTCTTAAATAGACTTGCTTATATTAAAGAGGGATAAGCAATTAGTCATGTTTGCTTAAAAGTACTTGAAATGTGCCTAACTATATCCAATTAGTCATTTAATGTCCTACTTCTGTTGACAATTTAAAGTGGAAATTGGCCTAAATCAAACCTTGCTGACTTTCTCTTTTAATTTTTATAAAAAAATATTATAACTTTTTTAACAGGATGGCCCAAGGCCAACTACACGGCAAAACAAGAATAAACCAATTTAAATATGGGGAATGAAATTCCCTTTCAAAGGTCAAAGTCAAGAAAAGAAAAAAGAATATTTTTTTTGATTTGACACAAAATTATCTAATTCATCAAGTTTAGGTGTAGTTTCATTATTTGAAGACCATAATTACTGTTAATTTGATTTAGAATCCTGTCTAGTCATTTTCACTCTATTCTATCTAGACCTAGTACTACTCCCTCAGTCCCTTTTTAGTTGTCCACTTTAGAAATGATACACAGATTAAGACAACAATGATTAGCACAGTGAAGTTACAATTTTACCCTTATGACAACTTTTCACTTCAAAATTACAACCACTTCTTTGAATTCAAGTGAAATAAATTGGAGGGAAACAACATACACTTTTACAATTTTCAAGAAGTGTAAATAAGGGTATAATAGGAAAAAAATTGTTGTCCTTTCTTGATTTGTCAAAATGGACAACTAAATAGGGACAACTAAAAAAGGAAATATGGACGGAGGAAATAGTATTTATCACAATATATTTTGATTAAATAGGACTTCATGGAGTGGCATCATCTTCTTGTGCAATTACTAAATTTCATCTTGAGTTGTGTGCTTATGACGTATAAGTCACGGATTTGAACTGTGGAAACAATCTCTAATACTTATATTAAAGTAGATTGGCAACATCACACCATTTGGGGTGCGACCTTCCCTGAACTCTGATAATGCAAAATGCTTTGTACACTAAATTGTCTTTCAATTGCATCCCCCCCCCCCCCCCCCCAACGTCTTCCTCCTCGATTAATTTATTCATCTTTCTATTCAGTAATTATTATTTTTGTAAAATGAATTATAGTACAAAGTTTCATATATTGGATCCACAAGGTCAAACACCCAACGTCTTCCTCCTCGATTAATTTATTCATCTTTCTATTCAGTAATTATTATTTTTGTAAAATGAATTATAGTACAAAGTTTCATATATTGGATCCACAAGGTCAAACAGAATCAACAAAATCTAACGAAGCCATTAAACCAGAGCTATGTAGATTAATTGATAACTTGAGTTTCATATTTTGTGTAAGCATAAACAATTAGACATGGAACACTTAACAATATTTCACAAGATTTGTGAATAATAGCACAAACACGTGTAAGAATTTTCGTCTGACAAGATTTGAGAATAATTTAACAAGATAAGCAAAATAAAGATGATATCAAGTTGTAGTCACCCAACGAATCTTGTAAATAATTGAACAATACAAGCAAGATTTGCCCATTTGGTAAAACTTCTAAACAATTTAACAAAATAGATAAAATGAAGATAATGTCAATATATGGCCTTCATGCATAACTTATGAATAATTGAACAACACATGCAATGTTCCCATATGGTAGAATGCCATATATATAACATAATAAATTATTAATTTTACACTTTTCATTTTATAATTAAATAAAAGTTTTTATAATTGTACAAATATTATGACATGATTTAAATCACAAATTTTAAAAAAAAAAATCATTTCTTTCTTAAATTTAAGAAGTAACACAATATATATACGTGTGTGTGTGAAAATGAAATTTTGGAAAAGTAGTCAATGATCAATGACAACGTTCTTGAGTTTTTCTTTCCATTAGAAGTTTTGTTGATAAACAATATTGATCCTTATTTTCTTCATAAAATTATGATAAACCATTATTTTCGTCACAAATTTGTATCTAAATTGTGGTGAATCGCTGATATAGATTGTGATACAGTGATGAAATTATTTCACCTTTAATCAGAGTTCTTGAATTCAAACCTACGGAGAGAGTCATGTTGAAAAAAGGGCAGGTAGTCACTAAACTTTGGAGGAAAAACATGGGCAAATGAATGATGGTCATGACCACGTTAATAAGTAGGCCAATTATGTATGTGATTTGTAATAATGTGTAGCACCACAAAGGTGTCAAAGAAGACCCCAAAATGAGCATGCAAAAAAGTAAATAAAAGTAGTTTTTATACTCACAAACACTAATGATGAAAATGAACATAATTATTTACTCATATCAGACACCACCATGTCTAGTTGTCTATACACTAAGATTTTAGGTTCTTTGTTTTCTTTGTAGGCTGACTTTTACAGCTAAAATTGAGCAAACATGGGAGCTTTTTTCTATATTTTATTTTATTTATTTTATATAGTCATATTTTCTTATAATAATATTATTTATTTTAATACATTTTATTAGTATAGTAAAATATTTTAAATTGCGCCTACATGGGAGCTTTCTTCTATCATTCCATTTTATTTTATGTCTTGGTCCATATTTAATGCCTTTTTACAGTTTTTCATTTGGTGTCTTGTATTCGTATTTGAGTTTCAATTAATTCAGATTCATGCATGTAGTAGTGTAATACCCATTTAAGGGAGAAACACTCTTTATTGGGATATTTTCATATCAAATGTTCAAATTCGAGATATCTGATTAAAGATATATGAAGGTCATTCTATGTATCCAACCCTCCACAATCTTTGTTGTTGGTCCAGATTTTATGATGATATATACATCATGAATTGTATACTAATTAAAATCTAAAAGTGGAAAGCTTTGAAACATAATATTAAGAAATCAAAATACCATTTTAAATTAGTTGATGGATATTTATGTCCTTTCAAAAATAAGTTATGCCTCAATATTAATTTTAAATGTATAACTCACAAAATTCATATTGAAATATTTTGTTAAAATATAACAAGCTCTAGTTGGCTCTTTACTATTTAGTCATGCGTAAGTTATATGCTATTAGAAATAATTAAAATCACTAAATTCTACCATATTTACTAATTCTCTATATAATTTGAAATAACTATATATTATCTCACTAATTAGTAATGTCATATCAGATTTCAAATCAGAAACACCTAAATATATATTTTTTTGCTACTAGATACGCTGAAATAGGGAAATAGGCGAGCGAGAACGGGAGGAAGGCAAGTGAGATTTATCTACATATCTCATATACATACAAATCACACTAGATACATGTATCTAAGATACCAGATACGTGAGCGAGATAGAGAGAGGCGAACGAGATTTGTTTATTTATCCCTGATACATGTGAATCCACAATGTATCTAGAACAAATTACACCTAATTTGATCCCATGTCTCTAGACGCGCCATATTACATGGATCAGAAGTCCAAAATCTAATAAGATTTATACAATTACAAACTAGCGTGTATCTAAATAATTCGCTCCTAAAATAGTGAAATTTACGTAAATTACCAAAAAAAAACCACTATTATAAAGTAAAATACCTCTATTATCCAAATAAGAGTATTATGAAATGATTAAAAAAAAAGGGGATCAAGTGGGCTGTTAAGTGTGTCAACAAAGATTACACCACACGACGACGACGAAGAAGAAGACTTTCACTAATATAACCAACCAAAACTAATTGTGAAGAGGCTATTGTTTGCAAGAGAGAGAGAGAGAGAGAGAGAGAGATGATTGCCAAACAAGCTACAGAATACTATAGATATCGTACAAATCATGCTGACATAACTTTTGTTTTAGAACTCCCGAGAGTTTGTGTCCGTCCAACGCTTAGGTGACTGAGTTGGTGCAACAAGTGGTATTTCACGAGGAGCTACCATAGATCATTTTTCCTACTCCCTTGTCAACGTTCGTCACACCGAGACGAACTTGCATGTGTACAATTTACATCTTCTATGTGGTTTGCGCTCTATTGCGAAAAACAATTTTACCCATAAATGTATGATCAAAAGTATTGAGTTCAATTGAACCTGATATAAATACTCTGCATATGATTCTAAGTTCAAATCAAGGTCATGACACTAATATATATACGTGAGAATAAAAGCTATTGAGTTTACATGATCGTTATCTGATTCTAAGTTCAAATCCTTGTCATGACACTAATATCTATACACATTGTGAGAATAAAAGCTATTGAGTTTACGTGATTGTTATGTGGTTTTGTAGATATGATATAAGTGTATAAAGCATAAATAAATTTGGAAGCAAGAGCCATTATAACGTGCCAACAACCAAATTATTGTTGGAAAGATAGTGTGGCTTATTGTTGTCATTATAAAAGACAACTAGGCAACGTTTGTTGTGTCCCTTAGGAAAGGGAGGCAACGTGCTGTGCTGCACTTTCCTTTGAAATAAATGTTACCAAACAGGTAATGGGCAAAGGGAATGTGTGGACATAAAAGTATTGAGTTGGATCCATCTACACACCAGCTCATGCCCATGCTACTTGCAACATAAAGGAACAACACATTTCAGAAAAATAATTTGCATTAACCAAAAAATAAAATGAATTTCTTGATACATTTGATCAACATTAAAGTTAACCACAAAGGGGGGGCGTGGAGACGACACATACATAGCATCGCAGCAATCAACCTTCATTTCGTATCCTACACTAAAACCAAAACTATTCAACTTGGAAGAACACAACTTGTAATGATCGCATTGTTACCAGTCTATGTACCGGGGGGCCTCAGTTAGTGGCATTCCATGAAGTTTTATAGTCTAAACACCATTAATCACTGTTTCATGTACTGTTTTGCCATCTTCCACAATCTTCCCATTGATTTGGGTTCGGGGCCTCTACAGAAAATGCAGAAAAGAGTGTCAAAGCTAATCTCAATAGTGACGAAAAAGCTATAATCCCTAAGATGAAAAATGCATAAATCTCTATACCCATTCTGCAGGATCTCCCGAATTTCCATTCAGCAGTTTGTGATTCTCTTCTTTAGATTTGCTATCCTTGGTGACCGGAAGCAACAAGGCACTAGTGCGATCAGGCAGTTCTGCAAGAAAGACCTCACTGTTTCAGTTATTTAACATTCCTCTTGTGTGATAACCAAATTTGGGAGGAGAGAGTGGAGGACAAAAACTAGATAAAATGATTCCTCTGAAGATAAATTTAGGATTGATAACTAACCTGGTAATGTTTTATCAATGAAGAAGACTACAAGGTTGACAGTGTACCTGTACCAAATTAACATGGCTCAATCAAGTGTTCACAATAACAAGAATGTGCTGAGGAGTGCATCAAGCAAAAAAACATCACTCACCATGCTACAACGACGTCAACAGTGTAATGCTTGCGGGATGCAATAATCAAAAAGCTTTGTGCAATAACAGCTAACCAAGCACACTGTTTTATAAACCTGCAGAATAAAATCAAGCAATCAGTGACAAATACAAGCTGTGTCAAGACACTTGAGAAAATATAGATATGCAACCTAAGCGAAGGAAGCAGAAAGTTCTAGTAACTCAGCTGACACATAAGACATCTGTACCCCACAAAGCAGCTTTTTGTTGTTGTACCATGAAATTATGAAAAAGTTCAAAAGAAACCCTTCCCGACGAGAACTCACAGAACCCAAGGCAGGCATATCTTCCAGGTAAATGATTGAAAGAAAAGGAGAAAATGAAGCAAAAGGAAGGAGGAAAGTGTTGGTGTGCCATCCTGCTTAATTAGGCTAAGTACTTTCAGTACAATTCACACTGAACTCCCCTCCCCACCAAGTAATGCATGATTTGCATAGTGCCATTACCATCAGAGCTGAGATTCAAATGATTATGAGATATCAAAAGTCATTCAGATCATTATTACTGTAGGTACCTTCGTGTTCCATATTTCTGGTATGTCCGGACAAAGACTAGGGAGAATATCATGTGAGATGAAAATATTAGATCACCACAACCATAAAGCATACCACGAGGAACTGCAGAGTCATAAAACTCACATAAGTGTCTAAATTGAAGAATGTGATGCTTTAGATGCCAGGAGGAGCAATCAGTAAAGGAAAATGCAACTTACCAATCAACAGTGCTTGTAAAATGTTGTCAGGAGGAGGAAGAGTGGCAAGCTTTGAACCCTGGTAATTTGCAGGGGAAAAAAGTTAGTTCAGGTTTTGCCAAAAAAGATAATTAAGTAAGCTTAGGCACAGCTAACAGACAGCAGAACAAAAAAGTTAAAAAACCATTAAATGAAAATAGCTTTTACCTCACGACAGTGATAGTTTGGACCAGGAAGCTGTGTAGAATAGAACGTTATGATCCGAAGGAATTGACAACCCTGTTACAAACATTTATTTAACCAACTTAGAAAATATAACAGATATCAAGATCTCCATTATTGGTAGCCTTGTAGACAAGAACAAATAGTCAGGGAAGGAGTACAAGAGAGTAATTTTGGCAAAGAAAAGGGACTTACAACTAAGAATGCCAGGACCCTGCACCATATCAGAACTGTATAGATCTTTTTGGTCTTGAAAATAAAAGGATGGAACGTCCACTGCAGAAAAGCATGAGAAAAGCATTAGAATAGAAGACACAAAATTAACTCCGCAAAAAAGTAAAGATTAAGACTAACACATCCGCAAAATCCATTCGAGGATGAAGGAAAATCTGGTTGACCACCATATAAACATAATTTAAACTAATATTCAGGGTTTCCCAGTTTCTAAAGCCTGAAGCAGCTTGGCATCATGGTTTGCCTAAATCAAATGCAAGTGTGCTTTTTATAAACTTAAAATTCAAAGGCATAAAGCAGTAATGACAAACAGAATCCAATTTCACTTATAATCTTGCCAAGAAAAAGATGAGATATTATAGAGAAACAACTCACCATGATGAAAGATAGAAAGATGGTGGTGAATACAGTTTCACTTATGTAAGCTCTATCTTGTCCAAGCTCCTGGAATTTTAACCCATAAGAAAAGTTCATTGTGCAACTCCATAACAGTGGGGGAGAAACAAAAACAAAAACAAGTAAACCAACCGGAAGAAGATAGAAGCCGACATCCTGAAGAATTGGTCCAGGCCGGTGAAAGTAATGCACTCCTCTAGCAGCAAGTCCATGGATGTACTGAAGAAAGAAATATAGAAGTTTCACAACTCAGGAATCCAAAATGCAATAAGATCAGGAATAAAAATGACTATAAAGCAGAGAAACATAAAATCATCACATTATTTGCCAAAAATAATATTCAACAACCATACAAAATGTGCACAAGTTCTATGATTCGGTAAGAGATCAGCAAGAAAATATCCGACAGCTTCCAACCTCCCGTCACTCCGACAAACTCTGCCCTGCCTAGACCGTGGAAAAAAAAAATATTGCTAAAGGAAACATTGAACAAATCAAAAGCAGTTGTCTACAAATGGAGGATTTTGTAGCAACACACTGTAGATTGTAGAATCAAAATCAGTTGGATTTCAACCTAGCTTATAGTACTTGCTACTCCATGCAAGTCCAAAGAAGAAAAAACTATACTTTCTGCAAGAAATGAAGGACAATAAAAATCTACCTGTCCAAATTTTAACAACTAATTGACTACACTGTTGAATCATAGAGACCCCCTTCCTTCCCAGGTCTCCCCCACTACAAAAAAATCTTCTTTTAATCAATTATCAACTGATGAAGTATGAATTGACTACACCTGTACACCATTAAAATTCAAAACTTCTAGAGCTCTCAGCAAAGTAAAACTACAATCATTTATAGCAAAAATGTTATGCTTGTAGATGGCATCACTGAAACCTGATAGAACATTTTAAAATCCTAATCACATAAAGTACCAAAAGTCCATATAATCAAGCAACCCCAAATAACCACAAAACCAAAAGGAAAAAAACAATTGATCAAAAGAAAGAAACATATAGATAGACAGATACCTGAAAAATCAAACCACCAAGAAGATATTTCCAATTATCAGCAAGAAGATTGATCTCTGTTGTTACCTCCGCACAAAATCTCTTCCATAACTGCTCTCCATAACAACAAACCATCACAATCAGGAAAAACGGATCTCCAGAAAAACAAAATTAAACAAATTCCACAAGCAAAAGTTTTAAAAAACAAACCTTTGAAGCCTCGCGACCAATGTAAAACGACATATCTTTATCTGTACCAACCAAAGCCATATTACATCACAAACCAACCATGGCGGTCAATATCGTTCAACCTAAACCCTCCTTTCACTTCAAAACAAATTTCAATCCCTCTTTTTTCCCCTTTTTTTCCCTCTTATCACCAAATTCAATTCAAACAATCAAAAAAATTAAAACTTGAACCCGATCGATAAACTGAATCGGAACCCCCCAAAAAACCTTAACTCTGACCGATCTCAAAAACCTAAAATTACCAAATCGCGATGGAAACAAAAATCAATTGACAATGAGTGTACAAATAATGGAAAACTTCAGTGGAAAAAAATAATTTATACAGTCGCCGGAAAATCGAATAATCCGGTATACTTTTTTTCTCTCTCTCTCTAGAAACTGCCTGCTGGTGTGGTGTTTGATTTTCTCTCTCTAGAAACTACTTTCTCTCTCTCTTTTTATACTTCTGCTTTGTCTGCTAAAAACGCGAGTTGAACACGGAGAACAGTTGAGAAGAAAGAAGAAGAGATTTGAGAGAAATATATACAAAAAAAAATTTGCTCCTTTTTGGAAAATAAAATTAAAAAAGTGAATTTAATGATATTCCATGTTGAAAAATATTCCAAAATTTATTTGTTCCGATTTCAATTTATTTGTATTATTTTTTTATTTTTTTTAAATATATACTAATTAACTATAATTTAGGAATACGAGTATAGATTAAGATATGTCTTATATGTTTGTTCGATTAGCGTAAACATCGAATCTACGTAAAAAAAAGTTTACCATGTGGTATTACTTTTAATAAGCTTTTAGTATTTAATTATAATTTAATAATTTATATTTTCACTTTATTAAATTATTTAACTACGGTAAAATTAACTATTTTGATGTAAATATTTGTGTTTTTTTTTTCATTTTATTATCTCGTAATTATTTATTTGATTATGTTGAGTTTTTAGAAATTCATTATTATGGACTCATATTTGAGACTTGTAATAATATAATCAAACTTTAAAATAAAATGCACAAAAGGCTAAAGTCCAAGATTAAAAAGATTTGAATCCACATTAAACATAAAGATTAATTAGTAATCAGTGAACTTACCACGAGTTAATGGTGATGCATTTAGTTTTTTTAGTGCTAGTTAACTAAGTATTAAATTAAATTAAATTAATTTAAGTACAAGCATGCTCTCCTCAAAAGTCAAATCATAAACTTCATGTGAGCAAAGTAGTTTTTTATTTATTTATATTATGGCGAGAGAAAAAATCGTGTTGCTTAACCTTATTCTCTTTACCAATAATTTTAGTGTTAGATCTATGGGAATTAGACGATTTTATTTGTTCAAATACTTAGCGATTAATTTTTATGTACCTTTCATTAGGATATTTTTAAACAAGTTCATGAATAACAAGTCTAAAAGTTTTCTTCTTAATGAGATGAAAAGGGGGGATATTAATAATATTAGCAATTTTGATTATGACTGGAGTTTAGATTATTAATGATTAACTTACCACAAGTTAATAGTGATGCATTTAGTTCTTTACATGCTAGTTAATTATTAAATTAAATTAATTTTAGTACCAACATGATCTCCTCAAATCTTTGTAAAACTAAAAACAATAAAATAGAACCTCTTTATAATCTTTGAACGTTGCACATGGAATTGATGAAGTTATGAGTATGAAAAAAATTTGTATGGAACGACTTTTTAAATGAGTTGTATATGATGCAAATTCAAATTAGTCTAACTTAAATATAAATATCAAACACCATCAAACAAAAACACATAAAAAAATCGATAATTGACTAACTTGTTTGTTTTTCTTCAAATAATATAAAAATAGAACGTTATATTCGAGGAAATGAAAATTGATTAAAGTAGGAAAGTTTTTCCTAAGCATAAACAAAAATAATACTCATAATAATACTCTCTCGGTCCCCTTTTAGTTGTTATGTTGCGCTTTTCAAAAGTCAATTTGACTAATTTTCAAAGTTAAATTAGATTACATTAATTTAATATATTTTTTTAAACTAAAAACCTAGTTATTCAAAAACTATATGAAAAGTAATATAAATTAATTTTTTTTGTACTTCAATATGATGAAAAAATACATCATAAAATATTAATAAAAATTTTTATCGTTAGAGTTTAAAAAAGAAAAATCATGACAACTAAAAAGACACGGAGAAAGTAATAAATTGTTTGAAATGTTTTTGGCGGAATCCGAAGTCACGAGGCTCACGGCTCGACGACCAAGAAGAAAGACTCAAAATTTGTCGTCGTTTCCTCTCTTTAATTTTTTCTATTTTTCTATGATATTAAGTTGGAAATTATAATATTTGGGATACTATAATTATTATATACACCCAATTTTTAATGTAAATCTTAAATTTCACCATAAATTTACACAATCAAAAATATTTTTTCGTTAAAAGTTTTATCTAACTGTAAATAATAAGAACATCATATGTGTTCCAAAAAATAAGAAGTATTATAATTTGTTTCGTGAACACAAGTGTAGCGCTCTAATATAAGCAAATAATATTTTCTCAAACTGATTAGCCAAATACAAAATTCAATATCATTTTTGTATATCTATTAGTATGAATTAACTAAGGTGCAAAAGAAGTGTTTTTTAAAAAAATATATATTTATAAACTACATAAAAAGTACTTTAAGTCACAATAATTAATAATTTAAAATATTTAAAGAGTATATAAAAAATTGACGATTAAAAATAGATTTATTGAATCTCAAAATTTAAAAAATGTCACCTAAATTTAGACGGACGAGTAGCGGGGGAACAAACAGGCTAGAAGCCAGGTAGGATACAACTAAGAAATGCCGGGTCCATGTGGGCATCATTAACTTTAATTAACCGTTTTTAACCGATGTGATTTAAAGCCTTAATTATAGGGCCCATTATGCCCATAATCTTTTCACTTTTTGGCATGTTTGTCTCTGCATTTTATCCTACTATATTTTTTTACTATATACTTTTTTGGCCACAATTGATAAAAACGTTGTGTCCCACTTCATAAAATTCCAAAAGTTCGTTTTATACTTTGTACCATTATAATTAATGTGAATAAATTAATAATTTGGTATTTCAAAAATGAAATCCAGTACTCTATCTGCCAGAGCCAGCCAATGTGGAGGATTTTTTAAAAATTTAAATTCAAATAAAACCGGCCAACACAATGATACTATTTTAAATTATTTTTTGAATCGTGAAAACAAGATAAAATGTCGTGTACTATGCTTCAGTTATCACATTAGTTGGTTTAGTCGTTGCCCCTCTTTGATATATATTATGTTATGTTTTCTTTATTATTTTGTATGTCCTTTGTAATTTTGTATTGTTTTGTTAGTTGATCTGATGTTTGTTACTCGTCGAATTGAGAGTCTTTTGAAATTAATTTTTCTGTTTCTACGAGATAGTGATAAGTTTTCTGTACACTTTAACATTCTCCAGACTCCGCTTCTGAGACTATATTTATTATTGTTGTTGATAAGGTAAAATGTTTGTATTACACTTCTTTGGATGCAATTCTTGTTCAGATTCTGTGTGAACGCGAGATAATTTGTGCATCAAGTTTCAAATGAAAAAAATAAATAGATAGGATAAGGATTTTCATGACATTTTGAATTATTGTTAGGTATTAAATTTATTAAAGTATGGCACAATCAATTTGGTATGTTGGTAAGTTGGATATATATTACTAATTTAGTAGGTATACAAACCAAATAATAACAGAAATTTGGAATCAAAAGCACAAAGGTTTGAAAATATGCATTCTCCATTTTTGTTTTTGTGGTTTTCCACCAACTCGCAAAAAAGAAGAAGCAATATTGATAGGTTTATCCGAAAAATAATTTTTCAAATTTCTTATTTTAAAAATAAATAATTGAAAAGGAAAAATCTTTTGTAAAAAGAATATAATATTAAAAACAAAATTTATAAGTGGCCTACAAAATTAATTATCTCGAAAATTACCAACACCATAATAACCATATCCAAAAATTGTCATAAATGTTTTGAGCTTGAAAGCAATCGAGTGACAAATCATAATTTTAGAGAGATTTTATTTTGTAACTCTTTACAAATTTATTTTTAATTTGAAAAGTTTTATGTCCTTTTTACCATAGATCTTAATTTTTACATATATTTTTTAAATTTATTTTTATACATAAAAGCTATGATAAAATTATTTTATTCTATTTTAACTAGTTCTTTCAACTTAAATTTCAATTATTATTTCTTCAAATTACACCTAGAGGGTAGCTAATAAACATATCTTTCATAAAAGAAGAAGAATTTCAAGTAGAATTAAAGCAGTGGACTATATTTTGCTAACCAACTAAACTCAATGAATCTGACTTTAATTTTATTTTTTGGTGTAATAGGTCACTTAAGAATTGTGATAATGGGATAATTATTGAGTTTTTTCAACTTTCATCAACTATAATAAAACAGGAAAAAATAATAAAAAATGTCTGCGCGCTAAAATTCTTTGAATTGAAGTGAAATAGTGGGGTTGAAATTTTGAGGTCTAAATTGGGTTCCAATGGGTCAAAACTAGTGGTGGCGTCAACTCATACTTTTTGTTATATTTATTTATCACAACAAATCAATGATTTTTCTTATTTTTTTTCTTAGTCTTCTAGATTTTGGTGTTAACAATAAAAAATTCAAAAGTTTTAAGGTAAGAAATCAACATATAAATCCTCACACTTGGTCCTCAATATCTACATTAAAGTCTTAACTAAATTTAGATCTATATCGAAAATTCTCATGTTGAGAATTTATTAGATTTATTTATCTCTTTATAAACCTCATAATTGTAGGTCGGGTGGGTTCAAAACATAACAGACGTCAACTGTTTTTTTTAAATATCACGTAAGCACCACGTAGGAAAATTAAGAGGGGGACATAGCTATATAACGGCTTAGGGGTAAATATGGCTCCAAAGTTAGATATTAAAAGCAAATATGATCATTTTTTGATATATCTATAAAAACTAAAAAATGACTTATCCATACAATATAATTTTTCGATAAAGGATGTCGCTTCACACCCAACAACGGTGCAGAGCTCCACCCTTGAATTATCATATTACCAAAAGGAAAAAGACAGTTGTTATAATAGGAAGATGACTTTATAAAGAGCATATTGTTATAAAGACGACTACTATTGTTATAAGTAAAAAAAAATTAAAAAAATGAGAAAAAATTTAACTACTATAATAAGATATTATTATAAAGAGGTTTGACGCGTTATTTAAATAGAAAGTAATAAATGTGATCTCATTTTAATTTTTGAAAAGAAAAGAAAAAAATCTAATTCAACGGTGAGGGATTTGCCCAGGGGAATAGTTTCATTTTCATGGGGTCAGTTTTTAAAAAAAGGAAAAATCCTATTATGTCTTTACTTTTTTTTATTAGTATTATTTTGTCTATATCTAATTTTTCTCCCTCTTGAAATTTCTTCAATCCAGTAAAACGTCAATTTCATATTCT